GTCTATCAAGAAAGTAGGTTAAAGACCAATATTTGAATTTCAACCAAACTCTCTGAAAATCCTCAATTTTTGATCGTTTTACTCAATAATCGAAATTGGAACTTAGCCCATTGGCCTGGTCAAGTAAGTGGGTTGAGGGATAATGGACTAATCATTTTAGTCCGCTTTTGCCCAGATATATGAAAAATTCAGTACATTGTTCTTACATTTATAAATTATATAAGATCTCATATACATATGGACAATATTCTTTCTTTCTCGGACTATCTACATTTGTTTCTTTATCTGTTGCTTTCCACTATCCTCCTTCGAGCTCATAAAAAGAACCCTAACAACATGTATTCATCGTGTAGTGAATGTCGCACTCCTATGGTGACGGTGTGTGTCAGGTGTGTAATATAATGAGGAATGGCCAACTGGGAATTGAGGGCGGGAGTTTTTGTGAGTGCAAACAATATATGATGCATAACAAAATTATGTATGGACGTGACCCCGCCATTTTAATCATATTTTAAGAAATTTTGTTTTAGGTGTTGCTTTATGCTAATACGTTTATTTTATTTTGAAATGATTTTGGATCTTCTAAATTGTTTATTAATGATTTGCAAGTAGTCTTTACACTAATTGTTGATTGTGATATTATTGATAATTAGCACATATGTATTTGTGTTGATCAGGTAATCCTAGCATAATGGTACCTATATTTTTTTCGTATTTCAAACAAAAAATTTGCAGTAATTATTGTAAGAATAAATTGCTTAAAAATGTTTCTTCACATAATTCATTATTATTAACTTTTTTCTCTATTGAATCCAAACAAAACTAATAAGACAATTATGTAATGTAGTTGTAATTATAACCTCCGAGATATTAGGCTATTGGTAATATGAAAGCATAAAATTTATCATATATTGGGGTCAAATTTTAATGTCAACAATCATGTAAAATAATAATATGTAAGAAAGTATGAATTATTAAATACTAATTCGTGAGTAACTAATATATATCTCCAAAAATAGTTATGGTTGCCAATATCTGACATTAATGTATGAGGATATTTCAAGACTATTATAATAGTCAAATTTCAAATCTTCTAACTTTCTCTCTATAGTTTTGATAAAATAAATTGGTTCATGTCTCAAGTATACTATCACTTGTTGTGAAAATTGAATTTCTAAAGAAACTCATTGTATTTTTCAAAAACGAAAGAAAATTAGTGAAATATTTAAAAAGAAATATAGGTTTCCAATATATATTTAAACTTCTTGTCACTTGAATATTAAATTCGTATATGTTTTCAAATTAACGTTCTCATAAAAGTATTCAAATTGTTACAAATATCATACAATTTAAGATTTTATCATAGATAAACATTTATTCCTATTACCTAAACCATGCTTTAGAAATTGTATTTTACCGTCCCGTCGGAAAGTAATTATCGGGTACCAACACCAAACGGCAAGCAATTTTATCGTTATAAAAAGGTCGAACCACAACCACTAACTTTTTTGGTATAACCTCGAGTACAATCTCACAATTCTTGATCGAAACCTGATTGAGACGTATATTACATAGTCGAGTGTATGAAAAGTCTAGAGTGATACATTGTTTTTGGGATTTGGCTGTTGGTTTATCGGGAGTAGCCTAATACTATGTATATTTTTCGACATATATATAATGACAATTTTTTTTTATCATGTATAATGATTATAAAACATAAGTACAAATACATCTACACAATATATAAAATAAAGGGTAATGACTATTTATCAATCAAACCTTTTCCAGCTTCTTTTTTATTAGCCAAACATATCAAAATACTAAGAATTAGCCAAATGTTAACTTTCAATTAGCAATTTTGTTAGTAATATTGACTTGGTGACGTTATACTGACTTGAAAGAGACACATGAAGGTCAAAATTTCAAAATGTTAGTATTTTAACTAAGAAAAGAGTTACAAAATTATTAACGAGAACGTAAAAATGGCTAATATTTTGATGTATTACGAAAGATTTGGCTGAATAATAGCATTTTAGTAGGTTTGGATAAATAAAAGAATCTGGAAAAAGTTTGGATAAAAAATAAACATTACACTAAAATAAAAGCATGAAGGAAAAACTTGGACCCTATTTCAAAATCTGGATTCCTATTTAACGCCCTAACTTTTTAAATTTTACGCCCTAAACTTACTCAAATAGACGATTATGCCCCCAACTTATCCCTAACCCGTTTGTCGCCCTTAAGATTCCTCGGCTGCTCGGTGCGCCCTGTCACCGCCGTCTACCGCCGCATGTATTATCTTCTCGACCGACCAGTGGAAGAGACGGTCAATTTGAGCATCCGCCTGAGGGGGAGACGGGTGCAGCGGAGTTTGGTCTTCTTTCCGACCGCTTTTGGTCCCTACATTTCGGAAGCTTCCACCGGTGCTGAATCTCGACGACGATCACCTCCCGCTCTCCTCTCTCTAAACCAAAAGCCCCACCTCATCAGCCGCTGCCCAAATTGCTCTGCCTCTACCTCCGCCTCCTCATCCTTCCATCGAAATTCTCTGTGCTACCCAACTCAGCCCACTCGACATCCCTGGAGGAATCAGGACAGGTTGGGAACCAACCTTCGCCAGAGGAATCAGGACAGGTCGGGAGCCGATTTTCCTTCTTCTTCCTCCTCGAGCTCAGTAGAGGTAGGCGGCGGCGACGGAACAGAACCCAGGCCGGCGGGATTCTTCCTCCTCGAGTTCGAGGAGCCTCCTTCATCTTCTTCCTCCTCGAGTTCGGGAGTAGCAGAGGTGGGCGGCGGCGGCGGCAGTGGGAGGGGCAGAACCAGACGACGAGCTTCTCCTTCCTTCTCGGCGACGAAGTGACTTCACCTTCCTCCTCGAAGGTGTCGCTTTGGATTTCTGTTGGAGGCGGGTCTGTGTTTGTGCTGGAGAGAGGGGAAGAGGCGCAACAGCAAAGGTGGCGATTGAGATTGGCGGAGCAGCGACGCGAATCCGCAATAGAGCAGCAAAGCGAGAAGTATTTAGGGCGAAAAATTGTGTTTTGAGGGATTAGGGATAAGTTGGGGCATAATCGTCTGTTTGGTAATTTTAGGGCGTAAAATTTTAAAAATTAGGGCGTTAAATAGTAACTCCCTTTCAAAATCCCTGCCTCCAGAGTGTTTTTCGGAGGGGTAATATTGGAAAGAACATCTTTCACGACGTACAAGCGCTGAATGAACGGGCCCAAGAATTGTTAAGGCCCACAAACATAAAATTGGTTCCAGCCACGCCGTTTCTTCTCACAAATCACAACTATTCAGCCGCATCTATCGTCAAGTCTCCCCGCCGCACCTACCCTCCTCCATGCAAGGTAACTGCCGATCGCCTTCATTCTTAGAGCAACCCCGCCGCCTGTAGCGACCCTCTACACCAATTCCGATTGTTTGAAGTGCACTCTCCATAGGTAAGGTTTTCCTGCCGTCGTCCTGTACTGTAATGGGTAGAGGTAATGTGGAGAGGCTAGGTTGGAATTCCGAATCGGAATCAGATTGAAAAGTCAGCGGTGGCTTAGAAATGCAATTCCGGTACTGTTGCAGTTTTGAAACAAGTCGCCGATCTTCTGTTGGCATATGAATGGATGTATAATTCCTTCCTCATAGTTTTATTTTTTCCACCTGGATTTTGGGTAGCTAAATTCGCAAGTAAGACTTGCTGTTCTGGGTGATTAGAAGGCAAAGAAGGTTAGAGTGGAGAAGTACTCCTGTTTTGCGTCTTCCAGAGACTCATTTGTTGGGAATTAAGGTTACCTTATGTTGATGATATATAAAAAGTTTGGTGTTTTGAAAATCTAGAATTTGTATAGGACTTTTTAGTGAATTGTGGGATTTGTTTGTAGTTGGAGAAGTCGTTTGATTGAATTTTGTTCATAGCAAAGATTTTATGTGTGGATCGCGATGGTTTTGTAAGCTCTAACTGGTGACAGAAGACCTGCTTTAACATTTTCTTCCTTCTAGCTTAGGGGTTTAAATTAACAGCTTGTTTGGATATAATTCTGTTGGAAAATGAATTCCATTTCTTGTGAGAATCTGAATTCAAGTGAGAATTCATTTTAAAATTTTATGTTTGGAACAAATCCAAAAGTTTGGGAAATAATTTCATCTTTTTATGTTTGGAAAAAATGGAAATGATTTCTTACAAGTGCTTTTACAATAATATCCTTGGTATTAGTGATTTCAAATCCAAAAGTAGTAAGGGCTTTCTTGTAAAGGTGAGTCAAAATTAATGTGGGGTCCACTAATTCCATCACTCTCTCCACCAATTCCGACCACTTTTGGTAGGAATTAGAATTTCCAACTTTTTGCCTTTTGGAATTCCATTTCCTTTTTACTTTTTACTTCCAAACATGAGAATCATGAAAAGTTTGGGAATTGGAATTCAATTTCCTCAAAATTTAGCCTTTCCAAACAGGCTGTAAGTGTGGATTGCGATGGTTTTGTAAGCTCTACCAGTGTTAGAAGACCTGCTTCAACTTTTCCCTCTCCTTCTAGCTTAGGGGTTGAATTTAATTGTCGGGTTAATTGCAAGGTTGGTCATTGAGATTACTAAAAACGTTCATGTTTAGTCACTAAAAATATTTAATTCTATTCGTGGTCACTAAAATTAGTAAAACATTTCAATTTCGGCCACTCTCCGTCTAATTCCGTTAACTTTGGCTGATGTGGCAGTCAACTCTAAAAGTTGACCGTTAAATGTATGACGTGTCACTTAAAAAATAATAATAAAATTTAAATTTTATATTTTAAATATTCCACCTAATTAATATCATCACTAAAAAAATAAAAATCTAATTCTTCTACTACCTCCGCCGAACCTGCTTTCTCCTCCTCGACTCCACCCGCCGCCATCACGGCTGAAGACCCTCTCGTGTCGTGGTCTCTGCTGAAGAACCCGATCCGGATGTCCGCGGTCAGGTAGTTATCCGTCTACGTGAAGATCAGCGTCTTCGTCCTCGTCTTACTCAAACATGTCTCCATTCCTGAGAAAAAGTTCTTCCCTCAAGTACGCCGGCGGCGGCGGCGAAGGGGCAGGCGAGGGTTACTCCGAAAAGGGGGGTTCATCGTCAATCGGGCGGAAATGCACCAACTTGGCGAAAGAACAGAAGGCCAGATTCTACATCATGCGTCGCTGCATCGCCATGCTCGTCTAATGGCACAAGCACGCCGCCGATCCCTGACCCACATCATCATCCAACCCAACTCTCTCTCTCTCTCTCCTCGTCCTCTGGCCAGGGCAAGCTCATGAATCGGCAATTGATTGCGCACGGCAGACGGTCAATCTTGATTTATTCTTGTTCTTTTCACTTGTGGAATTTTGTTTGTGAGAGAATTGAAGGACGAGACAAAGGCAGCATCTAACAGATGGTCAATTGCTCTGCTATTACAGAGTTGAGCATAAGTTTTCCCCTTTACTTTTCCTTCTTCTTCTTCTACATTTTTTCCCTACTTCTATCAGGTTTGTCATGAGCTTGATTGGGTTGAGCTTGTAGAATCATATATGACGAGGTGTAATTAGTTAGAAACGATTTGATGAATCAATGATGATGACATATAAAATGCCCAGAGCAGAGTTGAGCTCTAGCTAGATAGAAAAACCCAGCGCCATTACTATGATTCCATCTACTTGTAGTACTGTCTACTTATAGTTACTGTTTTTTCCTTACAGTCAAGTTGAGCTCTTTCTGGGTTTTCTTACTCAATTTTGCAGTTTGAAACGACTATGGAAATCCATGATCAGTTTAGGGAAAATGGATGTCTGCCATTTGAAGATTAATGAGTTGTAAATGGTAACAGAGATCTCAATATGTGCCCCTCAATCACTGTTAGTACCAACTCTCAAAGAACCCGATCTGGATGTCGGACCTTCAGCCATGATGGCGGCGGGTGGAGTCCGGGAGGAGAAAGCTGGTTAGGCCGAGGTAGTAGAAGAATTAGGTTTTTATTTTTATTTTTTTAGTGATGATAATAATTAGGTGAAATATTTAAAATATAAAATTTTAACTTTTTTATTATTTTTTAAGTGCCACGTCACACATTTAACGGTCAACTTTGAGAGTTGACTGCCACATCAGTCAAAGTTAACGGAGTTGGAAGGAGAGTGACCAAACTTGAAATGTTTTACTAATTTTAGTGACCACGAATGGAATTAAATATTTTGAGTGACTAAACATGAACGTTTTTAATAATATCAGTGACCAAACTTGCAATTAACCCTTTAATTGTGGATCACAATGGTTTTGTAAGCTTTTACTAGTGATAGAAGACCTGCTTCAACATTTCCCTCCTTCTAACTTAGGCGCCAATTCAACAAAAAAGCCTCACGATTTGTCTAACATGATTACGCCATTCAACTATATGTCATCCTTTTTCACCTCATTAGTTATTATTGTCATTGGTTGAATAATAACCATCACACTCATACATGTATCCATCAAGTCTTCGTTTTAACATGCAAATGCACAACCGAATAGTAATAATCGTTATGCCGTGACTTGATTTTGTTGGTTCATTAGTGTGGGTCATGTTAGGTTTGGCTTATCCTTGGTGTTTGTTTGTTTGTGATGTGTTGTTGGGAAAACGTGTTTTGAGATTGCTTAGTCGCCCATCGAACTCTGTCATTATGGCTGGCTGTTTGGTGTTTTGAGGGAAGTGTACTTAACTTTTGCTGATATGGGTTTTAACGAAGGAAAGTTTGTTAATTGTCAACTCTTCAAGGTAGGTTATGTATTTGGGTTAGTTTGAGTCATATGTGCAATTGGTACCTGCTTGGTTTTCAGCTTGATCAACAGTATAATTTATAGCTGAAAAGTAAAACCGCAACCCCCATTCAAATTTTCCTGCGCATAGAGTGATTTTAGGAGTCTGACGTGGCAGGGTGGTTACGCGGGATTAAATTAAAAATTCCCGCCTGACAGGAGAGATAAGAAACCGTCGGTTCCCACTACTTTTTTTGCGGCTGAAATCATCTTCCATTTTCTCCGGGGTTATCTACGTTTTGCTTTCTCCTTCCCGCAGCACGGCAGGATATCCATTTCTCAGCGGACAATTTTGGGAACAGGGACTGACGCTTGCTGCTCAGCGGAGGAAGGCATTGACGGCCCGCTGATGTGGAGTTTACCGTGCCGAGATTCTGCAGTTTGGAACGAGCAGCGAACACCTGATTGAGCGAGGAAGATCTGCGGCTAATTGACGGTGAATTCCCCAGCCAACCGGCGAATCGAAGGTGAGTCATGATTTGTGGTATTTGTTTACCCCCGCTGATTCGAACAATCGGATTTGGTAGTTATGCGGTGAACGATTCTCCAGCCAACCGCCGATTTGAAGGGGAGGCGAGATTGTTTCGGTTAGTTTACTCCTGCTGCTTCTCTCAATCCGGATTAGGTAGTTCTGCGTTGAACCCTTGCCAGCCAACCGACGATTTGAAGGGGAGTCAGTAATTTTTTCTGTTTGTTTTGCCCGGTTGCTTCGCGCTGTTAGATTTGTTAGTCTGATATATATGCGTTTTGGGGAAGCCCGCAATTCCTCTATTCGCAATTGGATTTGGTAGTCTGATCTGCATATTACCTATTACTGTTTCCATCATTTACTTCGCTTATCTTTAGTTTTATCTGATTGAGTTTCCATGTGTACCCAGCTAAATTGATAGGCCAACCCTTCCTGTACCTCCTGTGTCCTTATCGCAGCTTAGAAGGAGACCACGTCTTCGGCGAATTCGGCGACTACAAGCCCCTCGAAGCCAAGGAAAACCGGGGAAACCAGGGGAGCCGAGTTCCAAAGAAGGCATAAATAATTGAGCTCTGGTTTAGATCCCAGCTGCAACTGGTAGGTTTCTCGCCCTCTTTCATTGATATTCCATTTCAGTCTCCTTTATGTTCCGGATATTTAGTTCTAAATTTGGGTTTAGCCCATCGTACTTGATAGATTTGGTTCATCATCTTCTCCAATTCTTTTCTGATCAAAGAGACGACGATGAAACTAAATTATGATTACTGAGAGTGAACCATACAAGAAGAAAACGAGCTTTGTATTCGCATAAGGAGAAAAGGCGAGGGATGGGTTAGCGGCGGCGGTGGGTTTTCTGACTCTCTTTCGTTAATATTCACTTTCTGACTTCTTATTTAGTGTGTTGATTTTTGGGTCTACGTTATGATTTTCCCTTACTATACTACATGGATTTGGTTCATCATTTTTGCCCGTTCTTTCAGATTGAAGGAACGACGACGGGAACTCGATGATGGCAGGAGAAAGTGGAAAATGAGCGTTAGGTTTGCAGAGGAAAGAATAAGGATGATTAAGTTAGCGGAGTAGAAAGAAGGCAAAGCCAGGTAGTTCAAGTTTGGCGACTTCCTTTCAGTTTGATTGAGTGTTTGTGATAAGTCTTAGTTTGGTCAACATATGAGGACTTTCATGAATACAAAAAAGGCTAAGAGGAAGAAGAAGAAGAAGAAGAAGAAGCAACAACAGAGAATTAATTTTCCCTGGTCAAATCCCCTGGTCGCAGTTTACAAAGACATAGAAGGCAAAGAGAACGGTAGTGGAAGGAGGAATAAGAAGACGCACAAAATCGAAAAGGTGAAGAACTCTATTACGATTGTGATGGAATAACGAAATCGACATGGTGGTGACCTTCTCTCTTTGCTTCTGTTTTTTTTTTTTGTTTAATTTCTTGTGATTTATTCGCAGGTTAATGAGCTTATGCCAGTTTTGGGTACTTACCTTCCAAATAGCACATTAGGAAGCTTTCACTTGCCGAGTTCAACTTATTAATCAAGTGCTTGCCATTAATGGTGGTTTGGATGTGTTTGGCTCCATTTTATATCTTCCAGACCTCGCGGTTTGAGGAACAAATTTTATTCATTAAACACTATTTGAGGATTGAATGCTTTTTCCTATTAAGAAATACTATAACTATGTTGATTTTTGTTATTTATTATGTGTGTTTTGTGTTATAATTGAAGACATACATGTTGAACTTTAGATATAATATTATTTTATACGAGACGGGTATTATCCATGGGTATCCGAAAACCATGGGTATGGGGATGAGTTTGCAAAACCTCCCTCTGCATGGGTATGGGGCGGATATGGGTTTGGGTATTTGGTAATGGTAATGGGGATGGTTTAGGAAAACCCGCCCCAACCATCCCTAGCGACGGCTGGGTTTCATCAGTGGAGGGATACAGAAGGGAGTTGGAGAAATATTAGTTTCTACCCACTAATATTAGTTTCAACCCACTAATTAATTCTTAAAACAACAGCTACTTCGATGACTATGTTCTGTGCTAATATGGATGATTGCTAAGTGGGTTATTAATGTTTACTTCCTGATCCGTTGGACATTTAATAACTCACTTTTGTGCATATACCTTATAACTATGCCACATGCTAGCTCATTTTGTTATGTGTTGTTAATTGCAAGGACCAACATAGGCGAAAAGATAATTATGACCAGATCACATACAGATTTCTTATATTGGGAATCGCGTTTTAATCAATAAACCATGAGATTGCCAGAGAATCTTGAAGATGACATGTTTTTAATCAACTACTAATAATGTATTGTATGTTGGCTAATATGGCACCATGATAATTCTTCCCAGGTTTGTTGTTTGGATGGTTTTACTGTTTTCTTTACTTTTATGTCTTTCCCATCGGTCTCTTTGAATGCTCGATTTACAAATCTAATCTATGGATGTCACTTATTCCAAATTAATGAGGACCAACAAATTTCAAATTCGATAGCAAAACTTTTCATCCTTGACCTTTGATTTGATTAGAGTTTTAGCACCTACTTCCAAATTTAGGACTTAGACAAATCTCGCATGTGTTGAATTTAGATACCAAATACATAACTGAAATATATGATCCAAAACGATGTTCACATTTGTTATTGAATATCAAATTGGTTTTCTTTCTTTATGAAGTCATGAATCTTTTTTCATAAAATCCCATTTTCACGACAAACGATTGTATATTTGAATCAACAAGTGTTTTATTTAATAAAATTTCAAATAAATACTTCAAATATTTGAGATTTTGGTCAATATAATAGCTTGGACTATCCTTTTACGTCATTGTCAACTCTTAAAACGACAAATATTTTTCGTGAATCATATAAAATTAAAGATCCCAAATCAAGTAAATCATAAAT